CTGGTAATGGTAACAAATAAATTAAACACCTACTTAATATGCAAAATACAAAATAAACAGCATTTGATTATATTTTTCTCTACCTACATTCTATTTATTAAAATCGCTACTGAAAATATCCAAAATTTTAAAATCTTGGTATTCGTATTCACATATATGAAACAGTTTGCTTTGTCAACTATTCAGAGCAATTTTAGTATATTTTTATTTTGAAAAAAATTTGATAAACTGATAAAAAATTTATATAGGTATTGTAAAACTGGGTTACTTTGAGATAGTTTGAGACGTTTTGTTAATGTAATTTTTTTATTTGTTCCAATATTTTCTTGAAAAAATTAGCATCAGAACAATTGATAACAAACAAACTTAAACTTTTGCTTCAAGGTCATAGTTTTTTTAAAAAAAAATAGAAAATCTGGTTTCAAAGAAACCCCGACTTCGGGGCTATTTTGACAGTCCCTTTAATTACGTTGAAAATCAAAGTTATGCTAGCCTGGGGGGTACTTTGACACCTTAGAACTAAAAATTTGTAATATATGATGTAAATAAACTTTAATTAAACTCATTAAACACAAAACATAAAATATATATTTAAAAAAATCTTATTTTTTGGTATGTTTATATGGCATAAAACATAATATAAACATAATTTCCGTAAGTGCCTATACTGAAAATGAAACAAAATTAGTAGCCCCATAACATTTCAAAGAAACCCGAGATGTCAAAGTAACCCTATTTTACGGTATGTACCTACTTATAATCTTTTACTAGTCTCACTACTTCATTTTTATTATGCAAACTGCTAAATTGTGGTAACTAAAACGAACTAATTCTCATAGCAATTGTTTTTAATTACTGTGCTTTTTGAATCGTTTTGCTAAGATTTATGCGTTTATAATTATAACTCCTTATTTGAATCTTTTTTCTAGTGTTTGTCTTAGTAATATTGTAGAAGTTTTTGTTTTTTATTTTTAATTGTGTTCGTGTTTTTTACATCCTTATTCTTCGTAGGCAAGTGGTCGACCGAGGCGTTACTTCTGTTAATTTTTTGCATTGTTTTCAGTTTTTCTTCTCTACATGTTGCTATTCTATATTTAACTTTTTTCTAATGGTGTGACTTGGGAAAGGAAACGTTCTAATTATGACCATCGTGAGCTTTTTGCTGGCTACATTTCAGGCCCAATTAAATGTAATTTTCCACTGCAGTGTAATTCGTGTAATCAAAATCGCGCCAACGTGATTGCAATAATTGAATCTAATGGCTCTCGATCACCTTGCCACCTCTCCGAAAGTGGAAAAATTTAGGATTAGGGTCAATCGGCTTATATCCAGAATACGTTTCCACGATGATTCATCATTATCGATTTCTATTTAAGGGTTGTCGCCCTTAGCGATTGATTGCTGCGAAATGTTCCAGTTATGTGTTAGAGTCAACAGCCTCTAATAGAGCACATATCTCGGTTAATTGTTAGCGAGGGCCATTAAGTCCTCCTACTGGTTTACTGTGGAAAACAATTTGTTCATAGATGACTGCTTCGGTTGTCTGCTTGTTAGGACTTCCTTCGTAATGGACACGTTAGTGTACTCTAATTGGTGTTTTAGTAAATTTTTGCGATCGTCGACCCTTCAAGCCATACAAGTAACCCGAAACATGATCTGGTCACATTTGGTTTCCGCGGATTACACGACTGTACTTTTAATTAATCTAAGCAACACCAGGAAACTCTTCCACTTGAAGTCATTACGTAATAACTCATTCTTTGACAGATAATGTTCTTGCAGTGTGTGGGTTTGAAAGCGATGCCTTCCTTTCAGTCGACTAATCTGCACTTTCTGCATCTTTTTTATCTCGACTCCATTTACATAATGTTAAGTGGGTCATAAACCATAATTGAGTAAATTGTCGCGGGTGCATCTGGCTTACACTAATTTCGTCATAATTATACCATCGATGTTATACAGTATGGAAAACAAGAGACAATGATAATCGTGTGTTTTTAGCCCAGACAATGAGTGGGAAGACGCACGACCACACTCCACTGCTTTAACAAATTACATGCAATTTATCCTTAGAAAAAAAATAAATAAAATTACTCATCGGTACTAATTGTACATACATTTAAATGAAAAACGTAACAGTCATTGCATAAAATAAATGGTTATATTCACCTTTTGCAGATTGTTAAGCTAGCTTACCGCAAATTGGAACCGGCTAATGAAGTTTTGCTACGAATAGTTGTAGCGGCTAATTAATTTTTTAGAGTTGTTAACGGTTTCAAAAATTTGGTGATTTTATAGATATAAATACATGTTATTGTCACGCACGAGTTGCTAATTTTTTATACAGAGCATTAAAAACATTCTATTAGAAGTGATAGAGATTGAAACGTTAATAATAGGCTTCTGTCGGGAGAAAGCAGGAATTTTCAATTTTGGATCCGGCACGAGAGATAAAGATGTCGAATCACGTTCTGAAGGTTATTAACGATCAAATAGATCAGTCCAAGACTGATTAATCTTTCATGAAGATATCAAGCTATTAGTACAGGTTTTTTGAAGCATTCCAGACTTGTTGCAATTTCGTGCTGTAACTACACAAAGCTCAAAATCTAATCTTTATTCAATATCCACGCATACCGACCTTTCTTCTATACCGCTGATCCCCGCCTGTCACGAAATAAATAACCACAAACGATTTGGGGAATTAATCGCCAAAGATATTTATCGCAAATATTTGGGTTACCTTTCTGCAAGACTCAGTCGTAAATCAGTAAAGCATTCCTGAATCTTCGCAAACTTTCACAAATTAATTTAGACTATAGTGCAATAGATATAAAAAAAATATAAAAAAAAATCACATAATTTACCTGCTACCCTGCTTAGTCCAATTAACAATCAAGTTGTAGAATGCGTGGCCGAGAAAAGAATTTTTAACTTTAGGGCTGTTTTTGGGTTAGTTAGGAGATCAACATACTAACAGTTTCCGGTCCGATAGCGAGATGAGCGGGGCTCAGGAGGGTAACAAGAAGAGGCCGTTATATGCGTTTTCGCTAAAATCCAAAAACGGTGCGTGTTACAAAAAGAATAGTCTGGTTCAAAACAATTAAGGGTTATAAAATCTTCGGCAAGACGATCTTCTCGGGTTTTTTGTTTGAGTTTTCGAGATATTAGCTAGGAAATATTGCACTCTTTAAAAAAAATATGAATGAAAAGTTCAAAAGTTGTACCTACTTATGCATTGTTATTGGCCAGTTTGAGATCGGCCATTGTAATAATGTAAAAACCAATCACATAAGATTTTTGGATTCATTCAAAAATTTAGTGCAATGATGTGATTGGTCCGTTTGAGGTCGGCCATTATTATAATACCAGTAAGTTACCATGGAGAAACCAATCACTTTGGACCTAAATTAGACTTTGGAAAAAATTTGCATTTATTTATTAGGAAATTCAAATTAAAAAAAAAATGTTGTGCCTGTGCACTTTGATCTTTATTGTATTGTGACTTGTGAAAGTTTAGGAAACAAATCCTTAAAAAATATAGATAAGAATTTTATAATGTTTTATCTGTTCTGTGTGCTTACGAGCACAACAAAAATTGACGACGAGGATACATACGTAAGTGAAAATTTTCTTCAATTCTGAAAATTTTTATACAAGAAGTGTAACACAACCTCATTTTAGTATGAAAATACTGTTTTCGACAAGCTGCAGAGACCTACAGTACAGTTTGCCATCTATGTAGGTTGTAGGACCAACATTTTTGCAGTAAATTTTGGATTTAGACAGCATCACAGGACGATGGAAAGTGAGACAAAAAAATTTTTTTAGAGTGCGTGCGAAATTTGCCCACCAATATCTCGAAAACCGAAAAGACCGTTTTATAGAAAATTTTATAAGTTTTAATTATTTTGTATATAATCATTTTTTCCTAACACGCACTGTTTTTTGAGGTATTAGCGAGAAACCATAAAACGGCAGAACTTCTAACTATTATTTCTAACACAGCTTTGAAGTCAAAAATTCTATTGCTGACGAGCATGTTTTTTTACTGTTTTTGAGCTGGACTGCTACTACTTATACTTACTTTCCTTTTTTTTTAAAGATGGTGGGTGGTATAAAGTGGACTTGGAGAATTTTATACTTATTCAATCAAATTTTCGTTGAATTTTGTAGTAGGTATAATAAGTATTTCTTTTATAATTTTCAAAATACACTCAGTACAAAGTATTCGTTCGGGCACACTGTATAATACTCGTATATCTATGTTATAAATATTTTACGTTAAATAATAGATTTCTGTAGAAGAAAGCAAATTTTTATCATTTCTGTATAAAAGTAAACTAAAAGCTGAAGGAAGAACTTATTAGGTAGGTACCTAGGTACATTGCACATGGTATTATACGGAGAGTTTGGATAAAAAAGCCTAGACAATTACATATTAAATCTTCTCCTTTAGTTCATTACTGTAATTGCTTTAAAAAAAAATGTTGCAAAATCTTTAAATTGGTTTGCCATTTCCCATCCCACAACCGCACAAAATGCCTGATGGAAAGGAAGCCTTAAACGCCGATATCCTCTTCATTTTCCGGATCCGCCGACGCATATAAACCCAACCCACAGTCCACGATACGGTCCATGCCTCACGTTTTCGAAGTTAAACGATAAAATTATCACCGATTCGACTTCCTTTTATGCGAAGGAGAGGCTTATCCTCTCGCATGACTGTACCTAGTCCATCATCAACCTACGTGTGGGTGAAACAACCTCCATTGTGTTTTGCCTGCTGAAGGGCATATGATTCTTGAAATTTTTGTTCACCGGTGGTGTAACCTACATCCTCTCACGTTCACCGGATGTGCAAGAACCACGAAATCAGTTGACTGTGTTTATGACAGTTAACTTCAAGAAGTCGAAAGCGTTGTAATTGTCACATCCGGACATCACATTTAATACAGGATATGCACTTGAGGAATTGCAATTTTTTATTTTGGTTGCAGAGTACGCAATCCATCCAGCGAGATCTTCAACGTTTTGTGCACACCACCGTCGAATGGTAATTCGCCAGCCTCCAAGCTAACACCTCGACGGTCTTCTCATTCTGATTCTTTCACACGTTTGTTCGGAACTCCAGAACCCAAGAAGGTGACACCTAGAAGAGCCTCGTTGACAAAGCAAGGTAAAATGCAGTGCACATTAGCAATTTACTTGTTAAGCTTAATCAAATTTAATTCATTAAATGGTTCTAAATAATTTTATTTATGTCCTTTTTGGACTGGTAATAATCGATTACTTATGCAGATGTCATAAATCGCAACCCAGTCACTGGTGACGGAGTCGCCTCTTGGGACCAAAAGCCAGCGAATCGTAACACACCCAAAGTCCATAATGGTAAGAAAATAATTCTTAATAAGATTGAGCAATTTATTATAAAAGTTTTTTTTTACAGAGAGAAACCCAGTAACAGGAGAAGTGTACACCATTGTGACCCCAGCTACAACCCCAACCAAACCTGTCGAAAACGGTTTTGCCCATGTCAATGGAACTTCCACTCCAATGGTGAACGGAAACCATGAACCCATGAATGGGAACGTCGCGACTGAATAAGTGCTTTTATCCGGACTTTTCTTTACTCCACATTCGTCCATTTTTTACTGTTCTTTTTTGTTTCATAAACCAAATTTTACTGTAGAACTTAAATATATACGTAGATTTTATATATTTTTAAGTAATAAATTATACTAACATCTGGGCACTAATAAATAAAGGAGTATTTATCGAGTGCGACTTTCCGAGACGGTTAACTAATACATATAATAAAATATTTATTGCCTCTCTTACATTATAAGCAATATAATAGTTCGGATTTACTAGTTTATCCATATCATCATGTCTTTATGCCTTCATAAATCATGTTAGTTTGTAATTTCGACTAGAAGCTTTTATATCATGTTTTTAATTATATTACTTCCTAGGAGTATTTTTATTTTTTACGTTATGAACGAAGAGTATTGTAGAATAAATTTTTATACACATAGCTCTTTGCTTTTTTTCAAATTTTTACAATAAAGGTTCCTTTATCACTTTTGAAAGTGAATTTAATTTTTCGATATTATTCTTAGATTGAGAAATTTAATTTCAATCGTCACCAAATAGTGTTTTACATTAAAATTGTAAAGCAGAGTAAGCTCGAAAATAGGTTTCAAAAAAGTTTTATTTTCAAAGTACTTATACTAAAAAATACAAAGATTTGAATTTTTATAACAATACCTATAAAATAAATGTCCTCTGGATGCACTATTAATAATAGTAATAATAATAATAATTAATAATAGTAATGCGCAAAAAAAAAAGGAAACTGTAAGCAACATTTAGCTGACTACTTGGATTTTTCGGCACAACAAGAGCATAGTCACCAGTTAAATTCATGCGCAGATTGTTTGCGGAAAACAGACGAAAACACTAAAATAATAAATTTGACTATTGAGGTTATGGTTTAGCGTTACGTTTCTGTGTTGCAAAAAATCCTATATTATAACAATGTTCAAAGTAGGCAGCATACGCAAAGTCGAAGTGAAGAACTTTGTGTGAGTACTTACAGTTTAAATATGGGTATTACTTTTTGAATTTTATAGAACCTACAGTTACACAGAGCTTTATCCGGGCCCCAATTTAAACATGTTAATTGGTCCCAATGGGACTGGTAAGTCTACAATTGTTGCTGCTATAATTTTGGGACTTGGCGGCAACCCGAAAACTGTTGGTAGAGGCTCAAGAGTAAATATTCAATTTTGTTTTTGGCGTCTCGTAAACCAGCTTGATTATAGGTGTCTGAATATGTAAAACATAACTGCGAAGAGGCTACGATTCATATTTATTTACAAGGAAAAAAAGACAATGATTTTATTAAAATTACGCGAATTTTTAATACACACGACAAGACTGTTTGGCTTATAAATAATCAGAAAGTAACCGTGAAAGAAGTAATGGATTGCTGCAAACTGTACAATATACAAGTTGATAATTTATGTCAGTTTTTGCCCCAAGACCGGGTTCAGGATTTTGCGAAAATGAACCAACAGCAATTATTAAAAGAAACCCAAGTAGCTTTATGCCGGGCTGATTTAATTGAAAAACAAGAAGCCTTGATAGAATGCAGAAATAATCACAGACAACTTACTGAAGCAATTGATAAGAATGGAATCAAGTTGGAGGAAACTCGCGAGGCTAATTTGCGATTAGAAGGCAAAATTGAAAATTTTAGTAGGAAGAAAAATTTTTTAAGTCAAGTTGAAAGCATAGATCGCAAAATGGCATGGTTAAAGTATGATGAACTTTATGAAAAAATGTCTGAAACGAAAGCTGACTTGGGTAAAGCGACTCAAATTTATGAAAAACACAGAAGTGTCGTTAAACCAGCAGAAAAAGAAATCCAAAAGGCCAAACAAGTGGTTCAAGAATTGCAACAATCAAATTCCAATATTGTAATTATTGACTGTGGTCTTTAGTGTTTTGTATTTTTTTTAATTTTCAGACGCGCACTATTCGCGAGCATGAATCGTCCTGTAGAAACTACCTGGAAAAAATTGAGCAAACAAAAGACAAAATAAGAAACGTAGAACAACAAGTGAATGACCAAATCGCCATCATTGAACAAAAGAATCAAGAAATTGAGACTATGGCTTCTAAAGTTGAAGAAATGAAAGTCGCGCAAAGAGATCTAGCGAATAAGTGTGGCAATGGTATTTTCTAAAATTTGTAATTCATATTTTTTACACTGTTTTTTAGATGAGGAGGTTCAAGAAAAAGTTAGAAAAATAACAACTGAAATACAAAAGTTTCGACGTCACGTAAGCGAATTGCAGAATCAAAGAGACGATCTTATTGCGTCAAGGCAGACGAAATCGGCACAGTTGCGGGCTTACGAGAACGAAATAAACAGAATTGATAATGTGAAACAACAAAGGTTGAACTATCTGCAACGGGTGGACAGGGATGCCTATGAAGCGGTGACTTGGCTGAGGAATAATAAAAATCTTTTTAAGGGAGAGATTTATGAGCCCATAATGCTAGAGGTAAAGTTTGTCTTCAGCTAGGTATTTTTTAAAATTATTTTTATTAGCTCAACGTTCTTGACCCAAAAAATGCAATGTATGTCGAAAGTGTCATTCCGTTACGTGATCGTGTGGCTTTTACTTGCACTGATAAAGACGATATGAATTCTTTGATTCGTTATTTGAGAAGTGAGAAGCAACTGACAGTTAACGTGCTATATGCTGGTGATCCCAACGACCATGTATCGCGGTATCAGCCTTCTATCCCAATAGAGCAGTTGCGAAAATACGGTTTGTATACTTACATGCATTCATTGTTTACTGCCCCTGAACCAATCATGAGATACTTATGTAAGACATACCGAGTGCATAATATTCCAATCGGCAATAAACAAACAAATCAGTTCTTTCAAGAAGTGCCTTCCCAAATTAGGGTTTTCTTTAGTGGTAAGTCTAAAATACTGGTAGTTTTAAATAGGTATGTATGTTTAAAATTTTTACTTAGACAAAGTAAGATATTCGGTGAGTTACTCCCGATATACCAATGCGAAGAGTACAAGACAAAACGAAATTAGCTCAGATGGAGGTTTTTCCATATCTGTTGATGTATTACATTTAGAGAAAGTCCGTGGCCAAATGCAAGAACTTAGAAATAGTTTTGACACATGCGACACTCAAATGAAAGAACTTGACACACAGGTAGAATATATACAGGGTATTTCACGAGTGATAATGAGCCTGACCACATTTGAACTGCAGCCAGCAATACATTTGCATAGGCTTCATGGATTTTGATTATGAATTTTAAAATTAATAAAACATAGTTATCGCGTGACTGACAATTTTTAAGGTTATTGTCTATCTACCATTGGAAAACACTTTCAAGCCTTTTTGGAGCTTTTCTATACAGGAAACATTGTCTTTACAAAAGAAGTATTTTTCCCAAATTCGTCATAAATGAAAATCAGATCTGTTTTCTCATCGTTGTGACAAATAAAATTATCGAAGCAAAGCTATCGTGGATTCATAATTCGGTTTTTCAAACAATGCGATATCTAAAATATCCACGTTAACTTTGCAAATGTATTGTGGGTTGTATTTTCAACTCCGTCAGGTTCATTATCACTCGTGAAATACCCTGTATATAAATTTTATATTTCTTCTTTTACTAAATCATTGGGTCCAGATTTCGCTTATTAATGAGAAAGTTTCAAAACTGGGTGATGAACTCAAATATATCCACAGCATCAAGCAACAAGCACAAACAATTGAAAGTCGTATTGTTACCATGCAACGAAAGGTCCAAGAGTTGCAACAACAGTCATCCAATGGAGACCAGATTCGCGCACAAGGTCGTAATAAAATTCGGGTGAGTACTTCTCTGTCCAAGTGGAGTAAAGTTACCTACTGTGTTTACATAGAAAGTCGTCTTAACTTTCCGTCCATTGGCGCAAGAACTTAAGAACACTTACAAGTCGTTAACTATTCTTACAGTTAAAAGTGAATTAAATTTTATTAAAATTGAGAAAGCGCGCCGTCATGCGGCGTATTTAGAAAATAAAGCTGAAGAGGCGCGACGGTTGTTGGAAGAGAGTGAAGCTACCTTAAACCAAGTTAAGGAGGCTTATGCTAATGTGAAGGGTCAAGCTAAGGCTGCACTTCAGAAGGGTAAAGGCTTATCAAAAGGTTGCACACCTGAGGATGATGGCTTTGAGGAATTTCGGGAGACCCATGAGCGGCTGTCGACGGACTTAAGGGAACTACAAGAAGAAAAGTTACAATTAAATGCGAAAATTGAATGTTTAAATACGGCCGATGATGACGAGATGCGTGAGTATGAAGAAAGAGTTGAGATGATCAAAACCTTACAAGGGAGTATCGAACGAGCCCACATCGACTTGAGTAAAATATCGGCCAAAATGGACCAATTGCAAGAGGAGTGGTTGGGTCCGCTTCGTCAATTGGTCACCGAGATTAACGCCAACTTTGCAACGGCTTTCGAACGGATGGGGTGTGCAGGAGAAGTCTCCATAAACCCAGGCGATGACGAGAAGGAGTTTTCCAAGTACGGACTTTGCATCAAAGTGACATATCGTAATGGAGAGCCGATGCAGGAACTCAACAGTGTGGTACAGAGTGGAGGAGAGAGAGCAGTGGCTACGGCGGTGTTTATGTTGGCTTTGCAAGAATTAACCCCAGTGCCTTTTCGATGCGTTGATGAGATTAATCAAGGCATGGACGCGAATAATGAAAGGAGAATTTTTGATTTGTTGGTGGAGTTGACCAGTCAAGCCGACACGGCCCAATATTTTTTGATAACTCCAAAATTAGTGCCCAATTTAAGATATTCAAGGTCAACAATGGTGCATATTGTTCACAATGGACCGTTTGTGGAACCGGATAGGAAGTGGGGCATGTCTAAATTTTGTAACCCGCAAAGAGCAAAAATACATTAATTGTTTTATTTTCTATGCCTACTGTTATGAAAAGTATTTCTATTTTGAAAATAAAGTTATTTTGAGATTTTGTTGGACAGGAAGTAGGGCATGATCAATTGTGTAACTCACAAAGGACGAAAATACATAGTTTTAATTGTTTATGCTTATTGTTATAAGAAGTATCTCTATTTTAAAAATAAAGTTTTTTAAAATATTGTGTTTATTGTTATATGTACAGAGAACCTCGTTTATGGGTAGTTATAGTTCTGTTTAATCTACGTTTACAAAAATCTACGTTGATGCGCACAGGAAATAAGCGCACACGGAAAAAAGCGTAAAAAAGTGCAGCATAAACTATTTATTTTTCATTTGGGTACGTGATAGTACGTTACAATTTTATCTTGGAATTTTAAATTGTGATATTTAATTCATGTTTAAAAACTCCATAAAAACGCCTATCCCACATTTTGAGTTCTAGTTTACGAATTTAATCGATTGAGGTGTTTTCTTCTCGTAGTTCGCTGGGCCGCTCCGCGCCCCTGCCGGCTGTACGGCGCCGTGTTTTGTTTATTGTTTGTGTTTATAGTTATTTTTACATTTGCACAAACTTTCAAAGTTGTAGGATGTAGAATTGACTAAGTAAATTTTGAACGTGCGTTTTTGTGTCTTTTTCCCGGTACACGGGTACGCTTTATTCCTTGTATAATTTTTTCCGTGTGCGCTTTTTTCCTTGTGCGCTTTTTCCTGTGCGCTTTTTTCTTTGTGCGTGTTTTTCTGTGCGCTTATTTCCTAGATTCAAAACGTCAACGGGAAATAGTTGAACTCAAAAAATGCTCAGGCGAGAAAAAGATTATTTCTATCGAGACGTCGATGATTATAGTATAGTTTCAATTATCTGCTCTCCTAAAAAATCCGCGTTTTTATGGTCGAGAATAAACAAAAAACCAAAAATTTTGAGACGCGTGCTTAAATTTGTACATGCTTATTGCGAAAATTGATCGGTTCACGTATAGTAGTAGAATGCTTGGTTTATGTTTATTACGTTTTTTTTGAATATGTTACTATGGTTTTGCGTTTTATACAGGGTTATTCATAAATATGAAGCAATATTTGAACCTCAAAAATGACCTATAAAGTGATGTTAATTTAAATAATAACTCGTGTCCTATCTCTACTGATAAGAACTTTACAGCCCTCGGAATGTGGGTATGGAAATTTGATTTTTTTTTGTAATAACTTTGGAACTATTTGACCAAATGTTATAAAATTTGGAACATTTCCTTGTGACAACATACCTTTTGAACTGGTAATCACGAAAACCGGATGCATCCACTCAATTTCCTGTTCCAGCAGTTGCAGGTCACATTTTCTGTGTTTTTCCATTTTTTTGCTTTCTTAACACCAATTTTTTATTGCCTAAATCGATAGAGTAATCAATTTCGAATAAAAAACGCATAACCTTTAATACCCCTAAAATGGACCGTTTCAAAGATATTTTAATTTAAACTGAGGACTGCACAACGCTGAAATCAAAAATTTTGAATAAATGATATCCACGGCAACAAATGACCATGGTCCCACAAATTGCTGTCAGGCATCTGTCAACTTTGACATTGAACCATTCTTGGGCGTTTAATTGAAAATATTTAATAAAAGAGTTTACCTCAGATTCCAAACATAACTTAGAATAAATCCAAATGGATCACGTAGCATTTAATTCATAAAAAATTCACAAAAATTTATCGTCAAAGTTAACAGATGCCTGGCAGGGATTTATGTGACCATGGTCATTGGTTGCCGTGGATACCACTTATTCAAAATTCATATTTGTCATTTTCAGCGTTGTGCAGTCCTCAGTTTAAATTAAAATATCTTTGAAACGGTTCATTAGGGGTATTAAAGGTTATACGTTTTTTATTCGAAATTGATTACTCTATCGATTTGGGCAATAAAAAATTGGTGTTAAGAGAGCAAAAAAATGGAAAAACACAGAAAATGTGACCTGCAACTGCTGGAACCGGAAATTGAGTGGATGTATCCGGTTTTCATGATTACCAGTTCAAAAGGTATGTTGTCACAAGGAAATGTTCCAAATTTTATAATATTTGGACAAATAGTTCCAAAGTTATTACAAAAAAATCAAATTTCCATACCCACATTCCGAGGGCTGTAAAATTCTTATCAGTAGAGATAGGACACGAGTTATTATTTAAATTAACATAATTTTATAGGTCATTTTTGAGGTTCAAATATTGCTTCATATTTATGAATAAGCCTGTATATATGTATGCTTTTATGTTTGTTATTTTACTTTACTTAATTATTCTGTTTTTTAGTTTTTTAATTACAGTAGGTACTATAAAACTTAAAATTTAAAAATGTCGCTCAGTGGCGTGGCGTGGCCATGAATTAGTTGAGGCCTATATCATTTAATCTTTAATTTAAATTACGTCTAGTTGATAATTAATTTATTTGTTTTGTATTATCTTGAGTTGGTGGCCAGTCAGGGTAATAATCCCAATCAACATGTCTCGTTGTTAAAATATTATTATATACATATGACGATAACTTCCTTGTTCTTGGTCTCTCTGGATCATCAAAGTCTACATAATGCAGTCCGAACCTTAGTCTGCAAGCGACAAACAAATTTTGTGAAATTTAGCGGTGTAATAACTTACGTATAACCAGACATCCATTCAAAATTGTCCATCAAACTCCACGCGGTGTATCCAATCACGTTACAATTTTGTTCGTGGATAGCTTTTAATATTTCATAGAGATAATCTTTATAGTAGTTAGCTCTGACATAGTCATCGTGTTGACCGTAATCGGAAAACCCATTCTCTGTGATGAACACTGGTGGATTGTTATAATGGTTTTTAATCCACACTAATAGTTTATTAATACCCCAAGGAACGACTTTAAACCAACTACAGGCTGAATCTGGCCATGAGGAGTCTTGGTATCTTATAACACCTGTGTCTACCCAATGGGACGGATGGTCCCCTGCACCATCAACAGCTAGATAAACTTTATCAGAACTGTAGTGGTTCAAACCGATGAAATCGTAAGTTCCCTTCATCATTTCTTGTTCTTCGGGGCTAAATTCTGGCAGACGCGATCTATTATATCCTTCAGAAATGCTGTTCTTTTTTACCCTTTCGATCATCACGTCTGGGTAATTTCCCTTGACACAGGGATTGACAAACCATCCAAACTATATTTTAAATATTAAAAGTGATAGCTACTACGGGTAGCAGATATACCTATTTATATACTCACATTCATCTCTAAATCGATTTCTGAAGCTTGTTGGTCAGTTTCTCGGTCAAGATAATCGGGTTCGTGCCAGAAGGAATCTATTGAAATACCGATTTGACCTTGCTGTTTTCCTCTGAAGTCACTATCGTACAATCGGTAAGTTTTCCCATGGGCCAGAAGTATCGTATGAGTACATTCATAACCCCCAATCCCAGGATTTTTTATAAAAGGAGCAAAACTACCTCCAGAATAGCCGCCTTCACAAATCTGTATAATTTCATTAAAAGTAATCCAACGTTTAACTCTATCTCCAAAATTCTCAAACAAAACTCTTGCATAATCAATAAAATAATCAGCAGTTTTCCTCTCAGGCCATCCACCCTCATCTTGGAGCGGCTGGGGCAAATCCCAATGGAACATTGTAGCGTAAGGTTCAATCCCATTAGCCAACAACTCATTAATCAAGCTGTTGTAATAATCAATCCCTGCCTGGTTAATTTGATCTGTTTTCCCCGTTGGAAGAATTCTAGACCAAGATATAGAAAAACGGTAAAAGTTTACTCCCAGATTTTTGAGGAGTTGAACGTCTTCTTTGTACTTATGGTAAGAATCACAAGCGATGTCCCCATTGGACTTATCAATCACCCAGTCTGGGTGCTCGTGAAGACTTCTATCCCAAATGTTTTCCCCTTTTCCGTCTTCGTTCCATGCACCTTCAATTTGATAGGACGCACTAGCGGCACCAAAGACAAAATCATCTGGAAAGCGGTAGTCAGGGAGGTCTGCAAGGGCGAAAGTACTGCAAAAAATTTCTTCATATAGGATTTGATTGATTGTATCGCTACCTTGTATACATTAGAAATACAATTGTTTGCATCTTGAATTTGAGTAAAAATTCAAAATTTAGGAGAACTATTTACAGATGAATATAATTATAGCGTACCTAAATGACGAGCAAGTATTACAGTTCAACGTGATTTTGATACTTTACATGGACGTACTTTTATGACATCAATTATTAATGTAAAAAATGTCTTTTTTATTGCAAAATAAATCATTTCTTTTTAAATACATATTTATTTATTTAAACTAAAACAAACTTAAACATGTATACAGTATGTCCCCGGATAGAGTGAAACGACTTTCGTAGGTAAAAGATAAAAAAATTCTCGATTTGAGTTTTCATTTTTTGGGGTTCAGCTCTGCTTGGTTAAAGACTGATTTCTATTTTTGCATTGAGATAATAATTTTTGCATTGAGATAATAAGTTTGCCTTGCAAATTTTCAAAGAAAAAATCGAAATCATCGGGGAACTATAATTTTTCATTTTTTATATGTTTATTTCATAAATTAAAGAATTTTATTTTTTACAGTTCTTTTATTATGAATAAGATAAATTTCACAATTTCACATCACTTAAATTTCTACATACAGGGTGTCAATTTTAAAACTTTCAATCGGCGATATTTTTAGAACTGAAAATGTTAGCGAGAATCACTCAAAACCGTTTCAGTGGTTTTTAGGGGGAATCAAAATGACAGGGTAAGTGACATCCTTGAAGCTACAGCCACCTCAAATTGAAAATTTTAAATGGCACTACCCTACTTGTGATACATCGTTGGAAAGCTCATAACAAGCGCTTTTCAAAAATGTCATACAACAGCCTATTTAGTAAATCCGTTTTTTCAGTTATTCAAAAACAAAGACTTACAATTTTTTTTTTTTTTGTTATATTCAAGGGTGGGTGGAGGTGCGTCATTTAGGTTCTCCTTAGAAACCACCAAAACGGTTTTGAGTGATTCTCAAAAACTTTTTCAGTTGATCAGTATTGCCGATTGCAAGTTTTAAAATTGACACAGTGTATATCACTTAGGGCCAGTTTCATAATCGAATTAAAGGGAAATTAAAATTAATGTTGGTTTAGAATGTGAAATTTTTGTCAACAAGTCCATAGGTATAGGCACGTTCTAAACCAACATTAACTTTAAAATCTCTTTAATTCGATTATTACGCCCGGTTTCTGAAACGATTTATCGTTTGATAAATTTTATCGGTTCCACAATTTCTATAGAAACACCAATCAGATAAGAGCTACCTCAGTAACTACCAAAACGACAAAATTCATCTAATGATATCGTTCTGGCAATCGGGCATTAATAATTAATTTAAAAAGTATATCTAGTTGAGCATTAATTTATTGTTTCGTATTATCTTGAGTTGGTGGCCAGTCAGGGTAATAATCCCAATCAACATGTCTCGTTGTTACAATATTGTTATAAACGTATGATGATAACTTCCTTGTTCTTGGTCTCTCTGGATCATCAAAGTCTACAAAATGCAGTCCGAATTTTTGTCTGCAAGCGACAATTAAATTCTCTGAAATTTAGTGATATAATGACTTACGTATAACCAGACATCCATTCAAAATTGTCCATCAAACTCCACGCAGTGTATCCAATTACGTTACAATTTTGTTCGTGGATAGCCTTTAGTATTTCATATAGATAATCTTTATAGTAGTTAGCTCTACCATAGTCATCGAGTTGACCATAATCGGAAAATCCGTTCTCCGTTATGAGCACTGGTGGATTGTTATAGTGGTTTTTAATCCACACTAATAGTTTATTAATGCCCCATGGAACTACTTTAAGCCAATTAGAGGCTGAACCTGGCCATGAAGCGTCTTGGTATCCTATGACACCGGTGTCTGCCCAGTGAGACGGATGGTCCCCTGCACCATCATCAGCTAGGTAAACTTTATCAGAACTGTAGTGGTTCAAACCGATGAAATCGTAAGTTCCCTTCATCATTTCTTGTTCTTCGGAGCTAAATTCTGGCAGACGCGATTTGTTGTATCCTTCAGCAATGCTGTTCTTTTTGACTCTTTCGATCATTACGTCTGGGTAATTGCCGTTAACGAAGGGATTGACAAACCATCCATACTACAATGTAAAAAGTAAAGATAGTTAATACATTTAGCAGATATATTTGTATAGCTACTCACATTCATCTCCATATCAATTTCTGAAGCTTGTTGGTCCGTTTCTCGGTCAGGATAATTGGGTTCGTGCCAAAAGGAATCGATTGCAATACCGATTTTACCTTGCTGTTCTTCTCTGAAGTTACTATCGTACAATCGGTAAGTTTTCCCATGGGCGAGAAGTACCGTATGGGTACATTCATAATCCCCAATTCCAGGATTTTTGATAAAAGGAGCAAAACTACCCCCAGAATATCCTGCCTCACAAATCTGCATTATCTCATTAAAAGTCATCCAATGTTTAACCCTATCCCCAAAATTCTCAAATAAAACTTTTGCATAATCAACAAAATAATCAGCAGTTTTTCTCTCAGGCCATCCACCCTCATCTTGGAGCGGCTGTGGCAAATCCCAATGGAACATTGTAATGTAAGGCTCAATCCCATTAGCCAACAACTCATTAATCAAGTTGTCGTAATAATCAATTCCTGCCTGGTTAATTTGATCTGCTTTCCCTGTTGGAAGAATTCTAGACCAAGATATGGAAAAACGGTAGAAGTTTACACCCAGATTTTTAAGGAGTTGAACGTCTTCTTTGTATTTGTGGTAAGAGTCACAAGCGATGTCTCCATTGGACTTATCAGCTACCCAGTCTGGGTGCTCGTGGAGACCCCTATCCCAGATGTTTTCACCTTTTCCGTCTTCGTTCCATGCACCTTCGACTTGGTAGGACGCAGTAGCGGCACCAAAGACAAAATCATCTGGAAAGTGGTAGTCAGGGTCGTCTGCAACGGCGAAAGCACTAAAAAATATTTTTATATAGGATTTGATTGATTGTAGTTGCTACCTTGTACAAATTAGAAACACAATTGCTTTCATTTTGAATCTGAGTGAAAAGGGAAGGTTGAGGGGAATATTTATATCTGGACAATTGTGCATTTCAGATTATATCAAGAAATCATGCACAACTTCAAAAATTAGTCGCAAAATAAAACACTTAACGCAACTAAGTTGGAGATAAAATAAAGAACTGCGGAAATATTATGTATTGTACAAAAGTAGGTACTTAAGATTTATAACTGGTTCTTAGCAACAACTCCCTGCTTTTCCGTATGCATAAAAAGAAAACTTTTTCTATTCTGTTCAATTCTATTTAATCCCATTCTTTTCTCTTCTATTCTATTTAGTTCTGTCTCATACTGTTGTAATACGGTAATAACAGAAATACTTATTCATCAACGTTTTCGCAGTGTGGTGTAGGTATATTTTTTTAAAACATCAAATTGAAGCGAAGAAATTTTTGCATTAAGTATTTTTAATTATATTTATTTCTCTTTATAGGAATGTGATGATAACATAAACTATGTAATACACGTGAGCTACTCGTATTGTTTTGTACTTTTATCAATGTAAGTGATTAGAAAACATGAAGTGTTATTTTTTTTTGATAGGTGTGGTGATACATGAGAAAAATTTTTGTTTTGTGATACCGTATACAATTTAAAAAACAAAAATTTACTAATTTTTAAAATTCTGTTTTTATAAGAGTGATTTTTGATTTATGGAGAGGGAAAGCAAGCTTACGATAATTTGAATGCGCTTTATTTATTTACAATTACAAACTTCTTTAGGTTGTTGAGCAAACCCCATCATTCAATTCTTATTAGTATCAGCATTTTCTCCGATTATTAAAAAAACACCTAATTTGAGTCGATTAAATTTTATTAAGAATATAGAATAGAACCGATTTATGTACACATAAAATGCATCAAGACTCATTCCCCTGTCGTCTCTTCTTTTATCCCGTCATCTACTTCGGTCGGATTGATAATCTTGTCATGCACAGTCCTCAAATGCCTTAAAAGATTACTCTTAACGTTAAACCCTTTAAAACACAGTTCACACATGTACGGTTTCTCGCCGGTGTGCGTGCGTTTATGTATCAACAAGGAAGCATGAGAAGGAAACTTTTTGAAACAGGTCGTGCAACAATTCTGAGCGGGGCCGAATGATTTTGGCGTCTTTATCACTTTGCTGGGCGCTGTTTTATTCGACAGATGCAATTCAAATTCGGTATGCGTGTTCTGGATGTGGTGGACCCATTCGGCGGGGGTGGGGAAGTACTTTTGACAAAGGTCACAATGGAGTTGAGGAAAAGGCGCGTCTGAGTCCTCATCCTGAAAGCAACAATCTCATAATCAAACTTTAATCGAGTTTAAAATCAAGTACCTGTAAGCTTTTGCCTCGCCTTTGCCTCTTTGCCGGCAACATGTCCGTATGGGTCTGTACGTGACGCACCCATTCGGCTGGAAGCGTGAAAGTTTCCGAGCAAAGCTCGCAAGTCAGGGGTGAATACAAGCCTTGTTCTTCACTATCCTCCATGTATATTTCCGGTTTGATGGTCATTTCCGTACTGAAGACCTCTTTCTCGTCCACTAGTTCCATATCGGATTCGTTGACTTCGCTCCACTCGATCGGCTCCTCTTTAATCACCAGAAATTGGAGCGAGTCGTTGCTTTGCTCAGTCTTCTCACTATCAACCGATTCCGTGTTTTTTTGCGTCCTTTTCTCTTCTTCTGTACTTTTGATCACCGAATTCTGGTTGTTTTGTTTAGGTTTTTCTTTCTTTTCCTGTTCACCACTCTTGACTTGATTTTGCTTCTCTTTACCCCCTTCTTTTTGCCCGTCATACGTCTTCATCACATTAATAGTATAATTCAGAACTTTCGGTGCCGAATCACCGGGACTTGCCGCTGTCGCTTGAGCTTCCTTATGTTCGGTCTTGTTGGACTTGCTTTTGTGCGATACCTTGACTAGCCGATTTTCGTTATTCTCGTCCTCTTTCGGACGCCATAAGCCTTTCACTTTGAGGATATCACCACCTCGGAGAACCGGCTCGAGGATGTCTTTGGAAACGGTGGCTTCTCCACTGTACATGTATTGGATGAGGGTTTTCATAGTTCGATAGTTTATTTCAGGGGGGAGGATGATCATCAAAGGAAGGGCAGTGGTCACACGGGGTTGTAATTTGAGGACTTGGTGGAGGTATTGGCTGCAAGCGGAAAGGACGAAACGGTGGGCCATTATTTGGCGGCCGTCGATTGTAACGAGAGCTACATCGGCAAACGTCTCGTTCTGTAGAGAAGTTGCGATGCAGGAGTGGAGATAGGAGCCAAACGAGTGCCATTTCAGTTGATAGTTTTCGGCGATTTGGTCCATGGCGGCTACAAAAAATAAATAAAATCATACAAAAATACTACTTCTTATGTAACAAAAAGACAAAAATTTTGATTTAATTGTCGAGTCTACTAGCATTCGCCCAATATATCCAAAAAAATATCAGTCTGTGCCGTAAAACGATATCAAACACCAGAAGGGAAAATGTTCTGTTGTGCGAACCTGTTTTAGTAATAAATAAGAAAAGAAGTACACTGAGTGAGTCATTTAAAATAAAGAACCTAACCGCATTTCAGGCACAACACAAAATACATTCTCAGAGACCACTATACTCGTATGTATTAACTGATAAATTGTTTAAATTTTTTTTAACAAAATACCTGTGAAGTATCAAAATTCGATACCATCTTTAACAAAAAAAAAATGGTTACAAAATTTTTATATACTGCATGTCCCCTAATTGAGTTTACAAGAACAAAAGAAATTTTTTTGATTTTACGCCAAAACTTGTATTTTTTTCTATATGCTTTCTAAGTTCCATCACATTGGCGGTTTTACTTTTTTAGCAATGATGTCTCGATGTCAATTTGCCAATTAATTAATTAATTAAATAATGATTGTTCTTGATTTGACATTTATTTTTTGACATTTCACATTTTTTTGTGTCTATTTAATGATACTAATGATCTTGTATATGTTTTTCTATAATTATTTAGTAAAGGTACAAAAATTTTGATAATAAAAACCACAAATAACATTAAACAAAGATAGAATTTAGGATACAACTTCCTTGTTTCCTCTTCTAATAGTTTGCAGCGGTCTGTTGGAAAAATATTTTTCCAACAGAAATCAATAGAGTCAAAGTGCAAAATTTAAACTCTCATAACTTCGACATTTTTATAGATGAATTTTTTTTTTTAATTTTTTGCATGTTCCTAGTATCTTACCTTACATTTTTCTCTGGGGCGCGAGTTCTGGCGCACCTTGTATGTACTTTCAAATCACGAATATCGTAAATTAAAATATGATAAGTGACAATTTTTCTTAGAAGTTAGTTAGCTATAACTGCAAAATCAGACATTTGTCGTATTGTAGCCTTTGTAATTGCCCTGGGAATGTGTACAGGGTGCTGCATTTTGGATGTCCGAATAGGGAATCTCCGAAACTAAGAGGTTTACCCAAAAACGAGTAATACATTCTGGGACTAATTTTTTCAGAAAATAATATTGGTTAAAACCGCATCCCGTTATCGTCTTTTGTTTTCGACTTATAGACTAAAATTGACATTTTAGCGAAATCTAAAAAAATTCATATCTTCGTTATTACAGAAGACACATATTTGAAATAAAGACATTATATACAGGCACTTTTCTAGGCAGAATTTAATAATGTAGTTAACAATTTTTTTCAGTTGTTTGTTTAGCCGTAATAAAATAAACTTGTATTTTTTAAATGGGAATCATAGATGGCTATGTCATTTTTAAAAAGCATGTTTTTTTCTTATCTTGTAAAAAAGTGCCTGTATAATGTCTTTATGTCAAATCCGTAACTTCAATAATAACGAAGATATGAACTTTTTAGATTTCGCCAAGATGTCAACTTTTGTCTGTAAGTCGAAAACAAAAGACGATAGCGAGATGCGGTTTTAACCAATATTATTTTCTCAAAAAATGAGCCCCAAATGTATTACTCGTTTTTTGGCTAAACATCTTAGTTTCGGATATTCTCTATTCGGACATCCAAAATGCAGCACCCTGTATACTGGGTGATTTTAAGGTATGTGCAAATATTTTAACAGCTAATAGTAGAGCTCGAAAAAAGTCAAAATAACTCAACTTGCCTTATACGAATGTTTATAGTTTTTGAGATACAAAGGGTGCAACCTCCCCACATTGGCATCGGAGTTCTATGATTTTTTTATATGAGGCCCCATTTTGTGTGCTTATTTTGGTTAATTTTTACCCAATTTTTTGAAACAATGAAGAGCTAACCTCAGAGATCATATTAGTTAACAATTTGAGTTGGTAAAGTTTAAGGCTGCGCTCTAAATTTAAATTTTTTTGACGAACAATACTTTCTGTATCTCAAAAACTATAAACATTAGGATAAGGTAAGTTGACTTCTTTTGAGCCTTTGAGCCCCACTATCATCTTACGTTAAAATCACCACATGTGATCCAAATTTAAATAAAGTGAAAATATTTTTTTGGAGTGGTGGTATATTCTTCGCAAATACATTAGCATTAAGCTGTAGGTAATTTTTTTTTGATTATTATAGATATAAATCTGCCAAGAATAATGTTTACATTATTTAATCCCCTAGTATATAGACAGCCAACTTTGCCACATGTTTCTGCTTTCTTGTCCAAATATAATCCTTTTGCTCTAACTTTCTAATAAAATAAAAAGTGTTCACACTAAAACCCGTAACACTAATAAATTTTTCACCTGTTGCAAACTTAAAAATCGCCAACGTTCTGATCCGGGTCACATTATTTATCAATCCCCGCCAATGCAGCAGCTTTTTTATTTACAATATTGATTCTGTGCGTAAGCGCCAAATTAAATATCGCAAAATTATCAATAGATCAAATAGTTTTGTGATGTTTTTCACATGTAGAAAAATTAACTAAAAATAGTTAACCCACTACTTCAAAACTTGCCAAAGCAAAATATTTATTTGAAATGTGGCGTGTGTCGGAACTCGGAAGCGCGTGCATCGCAACGCTGATGTCCGAAAAACGCTTTAACAACATAGAAATTGTTTACCTTACAACGTCTTAAGGCGGTTAACACGAACGCATCACCGTCGGCTGCAGCAGCACTCGTACAAAAATGAATTTAGCCAGTTGCAGATGCCGGCATAAAAATCGATAAAATCGGTCTACCTCTATTGATTTCATCCAGCCAATCCTGAACAGCCATTTATCCTATCGACCTGACATCGCTCTAGTCGCGCACTCCATTTTATTGATTTACGTGTTCAAAATTGTATTGTTTCGTCTACTTTAAAGTTGCTATTTCGACCAGCAATAACAAAACGCGTTGAGGGTTGAGGGACAACTGAGACACGGTTGGGCCTGAAATTTAAATGAGAACGTTGGTTGCCTTTGCTTAGGGTTCTTCAGATAATAGAGTAAAGAATTTATTTTTAAGACGCCGCTGAGGATTGTTTGGAAGAATAAAGATTGTTATTTGTTTAAGTTTCCTTCCGTTTTGTTTTTGGGTTTGTTTTTACTTTCATACAGACAACAATACCCAAACCAAATTGCAAAAAAAAAAAAATGTGAAGATAGTTTTTCTGTTTGTTCATTCTCAATTTTTTTGTTTTGGTAAAAATCACCGACGATAATTATAGTAGGGATCTAGCTATCAAAAGAACATACATGTACCTATGATGTATATACATAAGTATAAGTAGTACATACATAGAATATAGGTTTATTTACAAATGCACAATCCCTCTCTAGAGCCCTGCCTAACTATACCCTTAAAACCCTCCACTACGTCTAGATGGTGCTGCATTCCAAACATTTAAAATCCAAGCATTGATTGTTAATATAGCTCGGTTTAATAATAACTCCAGCATTATGAATCTAAATATTTTATTACGTACACTGTAAAACAGTTTTCTATGTGTTGACCTTTAATGCCAGCTTAAAATCTCTCATACGAAACGATTTTCATTTACTTTAAGCCGTTTATTTATTATTTAAATTAACAAAAAGGCACTTTTTTTCTCGTTTGATGTTCACTGGATTATTTGTAGATGACTCTCTTCACCTAATTTATTTTATTGTAAAGTTGTGCTTGCATAAGTAATATTTTGTAAGGAGTTTGTTTAAAAGGCACTTGTGAGTGTGCTATACCTACAATCGTTGCCTTCACCAAAATGCTTATTCTAGAGAGCACACCTGAGGTCGTTTTCTCAGAAGTCAGGTGCTTTTTATTGCTTTCTTGGTACCTATTTGGGTGCATGTAACTAGATTTATTTTTTCTAACAAAGATTACATAAAAGAATGATTAATTTAATCACAATTAGATATAAGGAAGCACCACAGAACATTTCTCCTAGGCAGAATATAAAATATCAGAAATTCATTTTACTTATTTTGAGGTTTTTTAACTTCGGATACTTCTTTGTTTAATTGTTGGATGTTGTACAAGTACATGTTTATGTATTTATTTATGTTACGGACTCTTTCTCAAACTTAAATATTTTAAACCGTAACTTTTTCGCATTTTAATCGTCACTTCGTCCAAATTGAAATGTGTATTAAATTGGTTCAAGTAAATTTTTGTTTTTCCTTTGTTCCTATTCTTATTTCAGCTACATAGCTCAAACATCTTTCGCAATTCATCTCATTTCATTCCGTAACCGCTTGGCCTTTTGATTAAAGCACCTCTCCATCGTTTTAGCCTAATAATAAAACTATTTGAAACGAAGCGAGTTTTAAATTTTAATAAACATGTTAAACGCCGCCCCCACGAATCTCCGGCAACTTTTTGCCTGAAAGCTCAGGATTATTATTTAAAATTAAACGATGCAGCTTTCAATTAAGGCTAGGTTAAAAGGAATCTCGAACTCGCTTTCGGGGTGTCAATCATAAATCTGTCGGCCCGACCGGCTTGTGGGGCGTTTATTATTCTGTGGTTAAGCTGATGTCACAACAAAGGATGTACTTGTGATTTACAACACTACCTAGATTGGTCTTATAGAAAAATCATTTTCCTAAACCCCACTAAAAATTTTATTACTTTTAAGTTAAATGCGGTATTGTTAAGAGTAAACGAGAGGGTAAACAAATCATAAATTAGTGGAACCCACCCGGACCCAGAAACCAAGGAAACAGGTCAGTTTTTAACAGGGCCGGATTATTTACTTTCTTTTTGTGTCTAAAATAATTGAAATATTTTAATAGTTTAAACCAGGTGGTTATTAACAAGTTATTATTAAATAAAGCAGATTTTTTTTAATAATAGCTTGATAAAACTCTACCACTACTTTGGTTTTAAATACGGCCCTGTTTTATTCTGGTGGGTGCAGCAACACTTACAAAGGAACGTGCCATTTATGGAGGGTTACAAATTCAAGCCATTGTTTGGTTAATCTCTTATAATGTGTCATAAAATTTTTAGTAGGTCTTAGGAAAATGATTTTTCTATACTTGATATTTGTAGACTCAAGTAAAATTTTCTTATTTTCAACGGTTTAGTTTTAAATTTGAAGTGTTTATTTAATGGAAAAGTAAATAACGTAATGAAAACACAGGTAAATCTCGATAAATAGGAACTAATTGAAGGGGTTCTCCGGATTGTCGATTTTTCGGTTTACCGAATTAATTTTTTTCTTAATTAAAGTAACTGAAATACAAATTTTCATTAAAACATATGTAATAAAATATATAGATGGAGCATTATAAAAAAATAACTTTTTCATAGTTCTGATTATCGAGCACTATCTAGTGGTACCATAGATGAAATATTGTATATTTCCTCTATGTTGGAACTAAAGATTCGATAGATTTATTTTTCGTCTTACAAGACGTTCGGATTAATCTAATATGTATACATACCAGTAACATTTTTTAAATCTTTTGATGTTGATGGGTCATTAGAAGCAATTTCCAATGAAGGGACACTTTCAGGCGTATTAGGTGGTGGTGTTTCCTCCGCATTCAACCGATTTTGCAAATTCTAAAAACAAGTTCAAAAATGAAAAATCACGTTGTGTCTATTTTTTAAATTTCATTTTATTATTATTTATTATTAAGTATTCAGGGTGAGTCTGCTAATTTGTATCTCAAAAACTAATAATCATACAGAATTCAGCGTTTTAGGTACTTTAATTGTTTTCGGTCCACCCGAGTGTTTAATATTATAAAATGTGAATTATGATAAAGTACAAAAAATGTGACTTACCTTGTACTTACGAAGAGAAGCAATGTTCCCTTTGTTTTTCTTAGTACTAGACAAAGTTCTGCCATTACCTTTAGTTCTGGCCATGTTTTAAAAGATCACTAAGCACAAACTTCACACAATAGCACAGCCAACTGATAAACAGTAATTAAAAATTACTACTTTAGGGAGGTTACAATGTAAAGGGTTGGTGTTTTCTCTTTTAAATAACAATAACTATACTTTCCAAAAAATATAAATTTTATATCATATATATCATATTATGTATATCATATTATTTCCTATATTAAAAATTCATAAAGTGTAAATTAGGTTTTTATCAAGAATAACAATGTAGGTGTCATTTTTTGAAAAAATAGGGTCGTTATGTCACTATAACTATATGTCACTGGATTGAGTTTACAAGAAGAAAAAAACATTTTTCAACTTATCATTATTTAGTTGATGAATTAATTGTCAAAGTGACATATAGTTGTCATATAAATAAAACAACCAATGTGATAGGACTCAAAAAGCAGAGAAAAATTATTATAATAATATTAGTCCAAAATCAAGAGAAAAATGAACTTTTCTTTTTACTGAATCAGAATGAATAATAAAGAATTTTAAAGTAGTCTTTTTATCTACTGTTTATGATTTATCAACTAATTTTAGTAGATAAAGTAGTCTTTTATCGTCTTTGAAAATAAAGTAATTTTTATCTAATGTAAATATTCAAGAAAATCTGGTAGGTGAGTACAACATAAAATGAAATATTATACATGACGATAAAGATTTCTTTATCGTCTTGTATAATAAATTACTATTCTTTGCAGTTTTGGCGCAAAATAAAAAATAATTTTTTTTTCCTCTTTCAAAAAGAGACTAAAACTAAAACACAATGAAATCTAGGTTATCATTTCTGGGTAATAAGAAATTAGCCAGGTGTGTGTTCACAAAAAGGTTGCTTTCTAAATACCAGCCCTGGATAAAGAAAATATTAGACAAACAAGTTACCTATTGTAATATCAATAATAATTACTTGAAACTCCTAAATTACTATTAAGCGGCTAATCCCTTTTCTAGTTACAAGGTTAACTTTCTCCGATTTGGTGGCTAATCTCGACCAAATTCCTTTTTCAACGGAAACAAAAGTCAATACTGTTTTTATGTTATGTAAGATGAACAAGACTAACAAGAAAGTGAGACGTGACAAATCTAATAATTTTTAGCAGGTATACCTGCACTTGGGTCTGTTACTCAGACCTCCCGGTCCCACTGTAAATCTTTCTCGGGATTTGTCTAATCATCTGCCATAAATCATCGTTCCAGAAATTTTGTGCTCCAACGAATTAGAATTGTCGCGATATCAAGCTTATTTTTAATAACAGAAAAAAACTAAAAACACCAAGCTGTTTCAAATAAAAATCTCTACCGAATAGCCGAAGAGTTTTTCCATTTTGAAGCCTGGGTGTCTTTATAAGTGTTTTAGTCCAAAAAGGTGTTTATTTAAGTAGCCGTAATTTGATAAGTATCAGATTTTTTAAAATTTTGTTTCGGCCACTTTGTAGATATCATTTCTAAGATACATAGAGTTTTTAAACGACGTTGATATCTTTCCAAATAACTTAATTACAGCCGCAATTCTTTTACATTGGAAACGCCATAAGAGAAATACGTTTAACCAAGCCTTAAGTGATCTGCGGCTGATCCTTGTTGGCAGGATTATTGCAGTCACGTGTAACCTACTTAAAAATCCAATATAAGTTAGGAGTATTATTTAACCGGGTGAATGTTTATGGGGACAACCGACAATCTAACGACTTCACGAAATCAACAGCCTCCCTGCTGGTGAATAATTTTTATGATTCTTGACTTGAGAGCTGAGAGACATCTGCAACTCACGATGACGATGACGTATAATGACGCAACATGCTCTGCAGACGGTGGTGGGAGGTGGGATCGATATGGAGGAGGTTGGAATTCCTAGGCTTGTTTTCTACCACCTGTACTCGCTATTGTGACGTCACATATTTTGATTCTAGCTTAATGAGCCGAAACACAGATGGAATCATGTAGAAAGAGATAGCATCCAAAGTTGACTAATTGACATTTATTGTTTGTTTTTAGTTATTTCTTATTCGTGTTTTTAAGAAAACTAAAGTAATTTGCGGGAGTAATCGTTCGTTGTTCGTATTGTCATAGTACTGCAGCAATTACCGCAACAGCGCAAACCACATAGACATTTATTAAAAATTTCTACATTTGCGCCCAGTTTCGCCAAATGTTATATTTAGGTTTTAGGTTTATTATTTAATAAAGTTGCTTGTCTGCACGAGAACTACCCGAGAAATATGTCACACGTGATCCATAATTCGGAACGGTTGACCGCAATCTCGACCGATTTTGATTTCGTTTTATGAATTTTTCATTCATGCGATAGGTTACGGCAAACCAGTTGGCCGTTATGCAGCTACTACATTTACCAGTGTTTCTCAAAAATTAAGAAACTAAAAGAAATAGTCTTTCCATAACTGAATATAGAAGTCTTATGAGTCACTAACAGAAATTGATAAATATCAAATGTCAAACTTTTTCCAAACCAAAATTAGATACCTCTGCCCCCCCCCCCCTAATTAAGGTACACAATTTATTTTTGATGTCACCAATGGATTCAGCGTCAAAAAATTACTCCAAATGCAAACTTTTGTATAATTATATCTATCGACTACTGAGATAATTGAAAAAAAACCTATTGTCCGCCACCTTTAGGGGATTTTAGCTCCCTCAGGAAGAATTTTCGAACATAGGTCTGTAGACTTAGGGAACCACCCCCCGAGACCTTTCAACGTTTTTTCCAGTCAGCCTGTATCTATGTTTATAATTAACTCGAACAACTATTCAAACATAAGGCACGTGCAAAAGCATGGAAGCAATTGTTGTTTAATAATAAGCAAGTTAAATAAATATTGCAACAAACTAAAAATAAAAAGAAAACATAAATTTGTGGTAGGGTTTATTGCAAGTTTTCGAAAGGTCAGGCTTACTGGTTTTTGGGATTTCATTTGATTTTATTAACATGAAAAAACAGATATATTTTGATTTGGGTTTCAGTAAATTCTTTGAATAGATCAGTATTTTTTTGCCAATTTTAGAATGTGTATGTAAAAGCATCAATTTGGTAACGACAGGTATAACGTCGGATAATGTATCAATTTCCGGTCTCAGTTGATGTATCTGCCTATCCTCATCCTCCTTCACCCTCCTCAAATTTATGTCGGACTCTTTTATTAATATACAGTCACCTAGGGGTTTTCCCGAACAGTCAAAAATCGATAATGTAACCCTCTCAACGTACAATTTCGCAAAAGACAAATTTCACTTCTTAGCAGTAATAATTTAAATTAAAACACTGGGTAGTTTCCATAAATCTTTGAAAAAAAGTGTTGTTTTAAATTTCATATGTAAATAAAGGAATTATACAAGTTTTACGAGGTACGGTTTATTGCCCTAAAATCGACCTTGACTTTTTTATTTTAATTTTATCTACATATAAAAATTCATAGTAATACTAATAATTCACCTGCTACAGTAAAAATGATGGTTTTAACATTTTTGTAATAAAAAAGAATTTTTAAGCTTTAGTAGATTATCATTATTTATAATTAAAACATTTAATATGACATGCGTTTTAATTAACCCAGCTTTACAACTTTGTCGCGAAATTATTAAATCTGGCTTTCAACATGTCTAATAAATGAAAGTGACTTGAAGCGTGCGTACAAGGCGAGGTACATTATACTCTTTTTTTAAATTTTTTTTTTCTAATCAATGCAAAACCTACATTTGTTTTCTTTCGAATACTAATAATTTACTTTTAAGTATTTGTACGTTTATTTGATTTCTAAATTTTTAAAACTTAGAATTATGGGACTTTCTTTGGTAATTTGTTATATGTTGCACAAGTAGAACTTAAGTTTTTTACCTGCCCTACCGAATCAGTGGGGTTGCTTTTCTGAAAAATCCTAAAATAGAAGAAAAAAAATGAAGAAAACATAAGATTATATTTTTATGCGAACATCGAACCGGAAAGAGTGTTGCGAGAACTTGATTCAAAACTTAAATTTTACATGAGATATTTTACCAGTTTGAGAAGTACGTACAAGAAGCACAGTTGACGACTGATCCTCAAGCAGTCATGGCACTGTAACATACTCAAAAAGCATTTTCTTTTTGTATCGTGTCGTAAACATGTTGTTGAAGGTTTTACTACCATCTCTGCAGAACACGTCACTACTTTTACTCTTTTTAAATAATAATCTAATCAAAATAAAGAGTTAAGTTTTTGAGCTTCAACAAATACCAAACAATGGTAGATTGCAATACTACGAGTACATTCTAAATAGTAATTAAACACATGAATAAGTAAAAACTTAAACTCTGTCATTATTGAGTTGTACTGGAATTTTTTTTATAAAAAATTAAATACCTATTTGGTCCTGTCTGCTGGTAAAAAAAATAATTTATATTAAATTAACAAAGCCTGTTTTAGTTTTCGTCGAGACTTCGATACAAAAAATTGCACTGTTCAAGATCCACGTAATAATAAGTAAGTCGCACTAAAATATTCTAAGGGATCTGTGAACTTGTTTCCTCTGGGTCGAGACCAGCGTGCCGCCGCACCGTTCCGACGCTGTCGTCTTCGGCGGCGGCGCTGTAGCGTCGCGGCGGCTTTGCTTCGGCAGTCTAGCGCGAGATTTTCGCTATGCCGCTTTGCGTTCCGGGCCTCAGGCCCTAGCAACTCCATGTCGAGTCCAGGCGACGCGGCCGAGCCGGCACCACCGCCGCCGGAT